TAGGTAGGTAGGTAGGTAGGTAGGTAGGTAGGTAGGTAGGTAGGTAGGTATTTTTGAGGGCCTGGATTCCCCGTGATCCCACTCTTGCATCTATGTCTCCATGTCCTCACTGGACATACAGATGGCATTACCTTTGTCTCCTTTATCACCCTTGGGTCCAGCCTTCCCCACTGCCCCAGGATCACCTTTCATACCTACAGAGAAAAAAATCATTTACAGAAAACTTAAAACATCTCTAAAAAACAGACTTTTGCAGTCATGCAGTGTGTTAATGAAATGTAGGGAGAACTGGAGAGCAGAGCATGAGACAATGCTGAGGGAGGGGAGCTTAGTTTTGGTATCACAACTCCGTTTCAGCTCAAGCCCATTAGCCTGATATCCCAATGTATGTGACATGGACTTAAGTGAGTGAATAAAACGGATCCTCCCCTTGCCAGCATTGTCTGGCACCCAGGTTATCCTACATAAGCAATAACATCTCATGTAATGGAATAATATCCTCTCCCTTTCTCAGAGATGTTACCAGAGCATAATGGGGTATAGCCGGCTCCACCTAATTACTTTGTTCACACACAAGTTGCTCATTAGAAAATATGTAACAAGCAAGCTTCTGATCTTCTGGAACAGAAACACAGGCAATGAACATTGTGTCCTTTGAACAATTCCCTCTTACCAAACATTTGGAGGTGGGGGCAGAGAATGCTTTTCACTTCCTCAGCAGCCTGCACCATCCAGCTGTTATGAGGTAATAGTGTAATTCTGATGAAGCAAAATTGTGGAAGGACTTTGGTCTGTGACGGCCGGAGGTTTTTCTGGGCAAACATGGGGAATTCCCCTCTTTTAGCCTTGATGTATAGTTTAAACAAAACAATAAGAGAGATTGTTGATACGGAGGGCAAGTGGAATTGACTCAGTTCCAAGCTTCTTCTCATAACTAGCAACATACTCCTTCTTGCATGTTTTACAAGGGCCAAAACATTCATTGTAGATAGCCTGTTATTTGAAGATTAAGTGTGCTGATGTTCCAGAGATGTGATTTGGGCAGACTTTCATGTCTGACCAGTCATACTGACAAACAAAGCTTGTACTCTCCCTGCAATGACTAATCATAAATCAAATAAGCTAATTTACAAACTGGGGGATGGGTGAAAAGTTCCTGCTCTGGCAATCAAGATTTTTAAGCAGTCAAATATTTTTTTTTCTAATGACACACTATCTGTAATGTACCCCAAGGCTCCAGAGAGCTGTTCTGCTGTTTCTCTGTAACCAAAATAGTGCAGCAGAAACAAGAAGACGGAGTTGCTTGTACAACAGGAAGCACCCCCAAAGGCTCCCTGACCTGCCTTAAAGCAAGAAGCAATTGCTGTTTTAAACTGTATTTTTTTCCCTCTGCCTTGCTCACTTTTCGTATTGGACCCAAGCAGAGAGAAAATTTCAGTTCAAGGTAGGGTAGAAGCAGCCTTAAAAAGTAGATATCATCTTTGTTCTCTGTTTTACAGGAAAGAGCCCAAATTCTATTGCTTAGCATAGCAAATTGCACTAGAGTAGGCCCATTGAATCAGTGGCAGTTTGGTGCATCAACCCCTCTGTATGACCCATTGATTCAATGGGTGTGCTCTAGTTGAATCTTACTTTAACATAGTAAGTCACAGTTAGAGTAGGCCCATTTGAATCAGTGGAACTTCTGGAAGAGATGACTCCCTAAATCCCTCCTCAGTTCAATGGGCCTAGTACCATTTGAATCAGTGGAACTTCTGGAAGAGGTGACTCCCTAAATCCCCCCCCCCTCAGTTCAATGGGCCTAGTGCATCTTGTCTTATTGTGATTTATCACACCATACTTTATTTTTTTCTTTTTCTATAAAAAAACAGATCCTCTCTGAAGGGTAGAAAAAAGTGGGGTCAAAAGGTCAGTTATATCTTGCCCCGTGTGTGTGTGGAAGCCTCACAGCAATTCTGATTGTAGGCGACTTCTCAAAAGCAATTATACTGCAGTGCTGGAAGGATCCTGTATCAGTTCTGGTTCCTGGTATCATTACAAAGTTGTAAATAAGCTTCTAGAACTGTCAGGCACCAGGTCTTCAGCAGAGGAAAGATGGACACTCTCTTACCTGGGGGGCCCTGAAGGCCTGGCTCACCCTTCGCCCCCGGTAACCCATTTGTTCCTGGCACACCCGGCATTCCTGGTATCCCTGCCTGGCCCTGGAGAAAGACCTTATCTGCTCCACAATGCGATAAGCCCTTCAACTCTGAAATAAGAAAACAGCACAAACAAAAACTATATGACAAACCATACAATGCAGACAATTTTATTGAAGGATCAGTGAGCCCATGTTAAGCCATGGCTTAGGCCTAAGATGCTAGGAAGGATTGGTCTGCCACCGTAGGACAAGATGGCGGTAGACTCAGCCTCTTACAGTGATTGTTGGCAGGATAGTGCATAAGGCTGCCAAGGGAAAGCAGAAGAAAGGTGGTTGGTGTACCATCCTCCAGTGAGGAAGTGGAGGCAGGTCTGCCCACTGTTTGGATCATATGGGTAGACCAGGCCTCTCATCTCAAACCTCAGGTCTCTAGCCTGGATGTCTAATCACATCATTGGCAATGACATCTGAGGGCTGGACCATACAGAGGATCAGCTTATAATAGTTCGCTAAACTAGGCATATGCATTTTGATTTGTTTTTCTAACTGACTCCTGTGGAGCATGGGAGATGCTGCCAAGATGTTCAGTGCTGTAATTACTTCTTGCGTTATTTTCACATCACGAACTGTGAAATATATTGGGAGGAGGTGCGTTTTACACTGCTTGCCCCCAATATGAAAATGGCTCGTTACAGTTCTAACAGGGAGCCACAACAAGCCCTATATCCTTAGACAACATGTGTATGTGACGGCAGATTCAAATTCATTCAGTGGACTTGTCCATGAAAGTTCACATTAAAAAGCTGTAGTTACTTTTTTAAGAATGTTTTTTCTCTTCTTTGTTTTTTGTTTCTGTTTTGTTTTTTCCCAGATAGGCTAGCACAGACTAACACAGCTACCTCTTCTAAAACTACAAGTATGAATCTAACTGTATTTAAAACACACACAGACGAAGAAGAAGCCTGAGGCAGCTTGCATTCCACAAAACTGAAATAGGGTACCCAGATCCTTTCCCCACTGACAACAAAACCCACTGTTGTACTGGATACTCCTTTTTTAAAAAAAAGACTGAATTTTAATGTACACACGAGACGTGCACGCATGGGACACTGTACCAGGGGAGCAAGTTTTTCTGTTCCTCTGCCAAAGGTCTGTTTATTTTAGGGCAGATGTGGAGTAGATTCATTGACATCAATTCTGCATATGTGAACACCCATCCATTTTAAAAAAAATTCCTGCTATCTGATATAGTGCTATACCAGATAACAGGAATTAACAATAATAATAAAAGCTGCTGCATACCATGTAATTCCTTTCAATGAACACAATTTCTTACAGAATAACAGAATTGTAGAGCTGGAAGCGGTAACATCTAGTTTGATCCCCTGCCATTGCACAAAATCTCAGCTAAATCATCCCCAAGAGACATCCATCCAATTTGTTTCAAAAAATCTTCAGGGAAGGATGGACCAACCATTTATTGAGGCGATCCACTATTGAACAGCCTGGACCATCAAGAAGATTCTCCTGTTTCTGAGGACTGTCAAGCCATTTCTCTCTTTAGATTTTAAACCAATTCTCAAAAAAAATTTAGTTTAATTGTCTGTGCCAGCACCTTCACTATCTACATTCAAAAATATCCCACATATGTGTGAGGTGAAGAGTCACCTCAGCCATGATCAGAAGAGTGCACTGCCCAACTCTCAAACAAGGACAGAAAACAAGAGACGGGAGTTATAGAAAGGGAATTAAGGAAATTAGAAATAAAGGAAGAGATTGAAGGGGGTGCTAATCAGGTGGGAAAAGAGGAAGATAAAAAGATGGAAGAAGGAGGGGGTGAGGAAGAAGCATGTTGGGGACGAGAAAAGAAAGAGGAGGAAAAAGAGGGACTTGTTGTGTTGATCCAAGAAGTCCCTTGGACAGGAGAGTGGGTGTAATTCAAAGTACCCCGTGAGTACGCTGAAAGGGAATGGAGACAAGAGATGTATAGAAAGTGACCTTACTGGGGGGAAACTGAGGAGGGAAAGCAAAGAGCATAAAGTGTGGGTAAAGAGGGAAGAACAGGGAAGAGAAAGGCAGAGATGTATAGTGAGTCCAGAGAAATCTCGTGGGCCCAGCCCCTTCAGACCCCAACGGAGAACAGTTCATGGCTCGATAAAGGGGGAGCACCAAGAAGGTCCAACGTTCAATCCACAAAATTGAAGTGGGCAGGTGATACGCCAGAAATGATAGGTGCTAAACCCAAGTGGTCCCATGATGTTACCAGTTATTCCCTGTTGTCATATCATGGAGCGTTACCCAGTTTTAATAATGTTAAGACTTAAGATTTATTGTTGAATTTGGACGAAGATAAACAAGACTCAAAATTTGAAGACATGTTAAACAATAAACCAGTTTTATTAGAATATTTGGGTGTAACGTCTGCTTCTTTAGGCATGGTTATAAGAAAGGAGGTAGAGGACAGGCAGCAATATCACAGTCTGTATCCCTTTTATTCACGGACAAACTGTAAGTCCTTCAGATGCATTGCGGCAAGGGGGTGGCATATGCAATCTTCCAGCTGCTATTGAACTACAAATCCCATAGCCAAGCGTAAGGGGCACATTGAATATCCATGTGTTGCATGATCTGTCAGATGCAATCTAAAAAAACCTGTTTTGCCCTCACTTGTTTTTTGAGGAGGTAGGCACATAGTTTCATGATATTGTAGCAGCTGCTTTGCTTCAGGTGCCCTTTTGTACATACACAAAAAGCAGAGGAGCCCCTTCTTGTATTAAATTCAGTTACACATTGCTCTCACTCCCATTTTACACTCACGTTCACAGCAGCTCCCTCCAGTCTCCTCTCCAAAGCTTCCTCCCTCCATGGCCAGGAATATCAGAGCCAAGCAGAAGCCAATTCTGATAGCCATGTTGTCTTGCAGGGTGGACTCGGCTACCTTCAGGATGTCTCTCCCAAGGACGACTGATGGGTCTTTTGTAAACACAGATGGTGAAACCCAATAGTTCTGTAAATAAGGAAATGAGGAAATAACTAAAGTCCTTGCTATGGGGGATAAAACCACTGAGCTATGGAATACATCATTTTGCAATGCTTCCTTTCAGAAGAATTGGCATAGTTATATGTTCTTTTATTTCATTAAAAACTAAGGTATGCTTACAGAGCAATACCTGAAATCCCCAGATTGTGAAATCCACCTCAGAAAGGATTTCTTCCTGCCAAACAATGTTTACTTCATGACACTTTCCTTGTATTTGACACATAATGATAAGATAGCTATGACATTTTTCTCTTACAGACACATGGGCCCTATGGTGAGAGCTCCGGTTATCTCAGGCTACACAGCTCAGTAGTTTAGATATTTGACTGTCAAGCCAAAGGTTGGGAGTTCAATTCCCCACTGTGCCTCCATGGATAATAGCCAGCCTGTGTGGCCTTGGGCAGGCTGCATAGTCCCAGAGCTGCCCCCAGAAGAAAGGAATGGTAAGAAAACTTCTGAGTATTCTCTACTTAGAAAACCCTGAAAAGGGTCACCATAAGTCAGAACTGACTTGACTGCACATGGTTATAATTATTTTAATATATATTCTCTGTACTTCTCCTTGCAGTCAAATTTGATGCTCATTATTTCATATAAATAGGTTTTAAAAGGAAATAAGCAATTATTATGCATTGTAATAATTAAACTTAAAAGTATATAGCAAACTTTTTCTAAAAGTTGAAAGTTATTTGGTAATATAACGCAAAACAAAAGTGCAATGAATTAACATATTACATTTTTAGACACTATATTCTGTTCCACCAACAATTCCACGTGAAAAGATCAACCACACCATACTTTAAGTAAACCTGCTTAGCACAATCTAGGCTGATCTTCTTTCCCTTCAAAGGGAAAGGAAAATCAAACAAAAAGCCCTCCTATCTCTTCCTCCATACCTTATTTAAGTTGTTTAATGATATAGAGAAAGGGAAATCTTCCCTCTCACTCACCTGTGGAGGAGGAGGGAAAGGAAGGGTTCCATTTTCTTTTAATTGTTTCTAACTTACACGGTACATCAGCAATGCTTTGAAAGGGCCTTTCAAAGCACTGCTGATACATTATCAACAATGAAAAAGAATGGTTGTTGTGGGTTTTCCGGGCTGTTGGCCATGTTCTTAAGGTTGTTCTTCCTAATGTTTCACCAGTCTCTGTGGCCAGTATCTTCAGAGGACAGGAGTCAGAACTCAGTCTGTGCTCTGGTGCAGTTTGTTGGATAGTTGAGTATTTATACCTGTGAGATCAGCTTTTGTTCTTTTCTGGAGATTGGGTGATTATGGTAATCAGCATGTTTTTCTGTTGTGGGTGTATTGTTGTGATAAGGGGGAGAGATTATCTGTCACTGTGATTGATGGGTGTCGTTAGCTGGTCTTTTGTGTGCAGTGATCACTGGTCCTTGTGGCTG